TGCTCTGAGGGCTCAATAGCCTCCTCTTCTGGATCACCAGCTCATTTGTTCCCATCCCATCTTTCAAGGTCCCATTTCTTTCCAATTAATGCCCTTACTTTAATATCAGACACTGTTCTAGAGATTCAGAACAGTGATTCAATTCAGATGACACTGTAATTCAGCTACTCATATGATGAGACTCTGGATTTGGTTTTCGGCAATGAAGGCTCTCCTTTGTAGAACATGCAGAAATGTTTAGGGGTGTTATTCCACACTTGAGATGTGCTTCTGAAGTTCTGAGATGATCCCTTTCCTTGCTCACCCTTTCTACTGTAAGGAGGACCAGCCAACCAGCTACCCTATACTTCTTATCCTGACAAAACTGCTAGAAAACATCAAACACATGATCACTCAGAGCCTCTCCTCTCACCAGCACTTCATCTATTGGTGGCGATATTGTGGATATTAACTTTTCCACTTCACACAATGGATTAACACCACCCTCTCTAGTAATAGTGGCAGACTTACCTACCCATGCTTTGAGGGGTAGAGGCAGCATTCTCAGTATTTCTGGGCCTAGTCAGGCTGGAAAACCAATTCAGGAAACCCATATTTATGATCTTGTTTCTCTAGAACCATTCCTGGTAACAACTGAGTTAGGCAGGGTTCTCAAGACAAAGAAAACCAGGACACTTATGATCATATACATATTCCATATATATGGATAGCTTCATACAGCAAGAAGGTATATAACAGCTAATTAGTCCACACTGCAGTACAGAGGGGTCAGTTCAACTCACTTTCTTGGAACAGTTAATATAGTGGAAGTCCTTCAACTCATGTGGGCTGCGGGATCCAAGGTCAAGGAAGCCGACAGTGGAGTCTTCCCTAAGGCCCTGATGGGATCTGGAAGTCAAGCACAGGAACAGGGTCCATCCATCTCAAGCTCAAGCAGCATGGTGAAGCAGGTCTCAAAGGATCTTAAATCTCTAGTGATAGGATACAAGCGTTGGGTTGGCCCACCGCTAGTGAAGCAAGCTGAGGCAGAGAATTACTAAAGTAGCAGCATATTGTTTGATCACCAAGGAGCAAGAGGGAGAAGGGATGCTGGCTGTCTTATTTATTTCAGTCATCCCCCAGTCAAGCTACAACCCAACCAAACTCTGCCCAAATGTTCCCCTTGGCGTAGTTGGCACAATTAGTCAAACTATCACAGAGATGTACAGAGATCATTTTATGAGAGAAAAGTGGAGTGTAAGTTCTGATCCTGGGGACATGCTCTAGGAGAACTCGTGGTTAGAGACACACAGGTTAAAAAGGATGTCGCTTGGTTGATGTTATTTTGTTTTTGTTTTGCCAATGAGTCTGAACCACACCAGTAGAGATATTGCCTGCCTTTGTGATATAAACAGGAAAATTATTAACACAGGTAAATGACTTTTTGGCAGGTCGTAGGACTTTATAAGTTTTTACATCAATTGACAGTGTGTGCACTACAATATACAGCCCCATATCTAGCCCTGGTCTCCCAGATTTCTTCAAGTACTATCCTTGATTAAGAGGCTGTAAAGACAAAAAGAGGTAGGAGGTTGTACTTGCAGAGATGCAGATCTACAAAAGTGGGACTGTGCAGGTAGAGGAACCCACGTTAACTGTGTCAGTTATGAGTATGCTCAGGGGCTGATATTTTACATATTGATATTCCATTTACATTCACTTTTGATGATTATGAGGGTCTTTTGGTGTGTTGGAAGGGATTGGTAGAGTCTGAGCCAGTGGAGACTGGCATGTGTCTAAAATCACCCTTGTGCAGTATAGGTTTAACCCAAGACAAAGTTAAACCCAAGACAGAGTCCTTCCATTAACAGCCATTGCCAGCTATGTTCAAAGGAAAAATAAAAAGGATTAGTGTCCAGCATTATTTTGTAATCTGTTCACTGTTTTGTTGTGTTTTCTTCTTCTGTGTTTAGGTTTGGTGATGTCTCTTTGCAAGAGAGTATTAATCAAGAAAATTTTGAGCTCCTAAAAGAATATTATGAGATGTTTATGGAAAAGATGCCCCCTGATTGTGAGTATGCGAGCTCGAGAGACCAACAATAGAACGGTCTTGATTATGAATCAAGGAGAGGTCAGACACAGAGGTCATTGGACTAAAGAAGTGTTGTGCTTGGCTGTGTGCAAGCTTCTGAGATTATGTGAACTCAGAAGACTGATTGCCAAGGTGGCATGGCAGATACCAGCATCATTATCATGATTGTACTCTTGAACGTGCCCCGCTGCTCCCCCTTGTGATATTAATTTCATTGCCATTGGAAAGTGCCATAAATTAAAAATGAGTAATTTTTAAAGAGACATCTCACTTCAGTCCACTTAAAAGTCTATATAATTCTTTACCATTAAAAAATAGAGGTGGATCTCTGATTTGTAAGTTACAGCAGACATTTATGAGACAGATATATATGGAGAAATTTATATTTTAATTTACATAAAGTATATAAAGTGGTCTAAGTGAGATAGAGAAAGTTAGGCATTTCATATGTCTACTGTAATATTTTATATAAATATAAGGTGTGCAAGTCTGTAGAAATGTTTATGCCTTTTAATGGTTTGACTATTGTTCAGTTTTACAGTTCTTTTGCCCTTGATATTTAACATTAAACACCTACATAATCCAAAATCAGAGGACATACTGGAATTTTCATGTGTGCAGTATAAATATTTTGAGATCTACATAATGATAGTAGTCAGATTGTAATAAAGTAGGAAACAGTTTAATATTTTTAACCAAAAGCAGTAATCGAAATCTACTCTTCTTCTCTAACCTCTGGGGATTTGCCACTGACCCATAGTCTAATACTTTGTTTGAAATATCTTTGATGGCAGCAGACTTAGAATTTTTCATAAACCAGAGAATCTTGCATCAAAATATTATGATTGAATATGTATGCTCATGTCTAGCTAGGTAGATATTTCATTTGCATGTCCTAATTTTTATTTTATATGTCTTTCACATAACATTATTCTTATGACAAGTGTAAGTAAGGCACATGGAAACTATTTCACAGTTCAACACACTTGTGACTTTTAATTTATTAAATAAAATGAATAATTTTATACCATACACCTATTTTGTTAGCAATTAACGAAAGAGAAGTCTATTGTGACTTTGATGTTGGTAACTGGTTTTTTGTGTGTTTTGGTTTTTTCAAGTGTCTTAGCATTTGACAATATTTCTCAGGATTGCTATTGCCCACTTGATTGTTACGTATATGTGGTCCCTGGATCATCAACATCAGTATCACCATCACCTGGCACTGAGTTAGCAAGGCAGATTCTCAGGCTCCACTTCAGATTCATTGCATTGGCTCTGTAATTGAGCTTAACAAACGTCCCAGGTGACCTCTAATCTAAAGTAATATTTGGGAATCGAGGTACAGCTGTCTTACTCAAAAAGAGGCATCCTCAAAATACGGCCTGCGGGCCACATGCAGCCCGCTGAGGACATTTATCCGGCCCGCCGGGTGTTTTTGCCCCATTTTGGTTTTTTATTTCAAAATAAGATATGTGCAGTGTGCATAGGAATTTGTTCATCGTTTTTTTTAAAACTATAGTCCGGCCCTCCAGCGGGTCTGAGGGACAGTGAACTGGCCCCCTGTTTAAAAAGTTTGAGGACCCCTGGTTTATAAATAATGAATGCATGCACACACATGTATATAGAGCCCTGGTGGTGACACCATGGGCTAATCAGAGGAGTGCTAATTGCTAGGATCTTAGTTCAAATGGTTCAAGCCCACCTGTGAACCCATGGGAGAAAGATGAGGCAATCTGATACTGTAAGATGTACAGTCTCTGAAACCTGATGAGTCAGAATCAACTAATTGGCAGTAGATTTGATTTTATTGTTTTATCGTGCTTATATAAGAGGTTATTGACAAAGTCAATGAAGAATTTGAATAAGGCACTTAAAACATGACATTCAAAAGAAGTTTAAATGCTTGTTGAAGTACTCTCTGAGATATGCGCTAATACTTCCTACCACCAAGTAGTTGAAAATCTTTAAAGGAATATTTCCTAAAAATTAAAGAACCATGTGATAGCCAGCACAATAGCTAATTAAATAGAATCAATATATGTCTTGCTTTAAAAAATAGGATAGATTTCTTACATGAAATGCATTGCTTTTCAAGGCAACGTATGTACTGAATTTTTCTTGTCATTTGTTCATTATTTCAACATACTTTTGAGACCTTAGTTGTGATTTCAAGTTAAATAGAATTGTAGTATAACTATGGTTACACTCTGCAAAAAATAGTACAAACCTGATCTCTGCGATTGTGAGGCTATTACTCTTACAGAAATATTGTAACCCATAGCTGGATTTATATTGAAGTAAGTATCGATAAAGTTTTTGTCAATGTCTAGATTGAGGTTAGGCCACTTGCGAAAGCGCAGGCAATCACCATGCTGCATCTTATCCATGCTTCCTGTAACCTTTATTTTCTTCTCCATAGTGCAATCAGAGAATCTTTGTATACATATCAAATGATGGGACCACCCCTACATATATTTATTTCCATTATTAATTAATACGTGTGTGATCTATTAATTTACAAAGTCTATGAGAAAATAGAGTGACTCTGTAGCACAAGGTAGAGCTTCCCATGTGGGTTTCCAAGGCTATAATTCTTTACAGAAGTAGAAAGTTTCATCTTTCTCCACAGGGTGGCTGGTGCTTTTGAACTGCCCACCTTGGAGTTAGCAACCCAACTCACTGCATCATACATCTTTTTTTTAACTTTTATATTTCTTTTTTAAAAAATAATTTTATTGGGGGCTCATACAACTCTTATCACAATCCATACATACATCAATTGTGTAAAGCACATTTGTGCATTCATTGCCCTCATCATTCTCAAAACATCCGCTCTCCACTTAAGCCCTTGGTATCAGCTCTTCATTTTCCCCCCTCCCTTCCCGCTCCCCCCTCCTTCATGAATCCTTGATATTTTATAAATTATTGTTATTTTGTCATGTCTTACACTGTCCAACATATCCCTTCACCCACTTTCCTGTTGTCCGCCCCCCAGGGAGATCCTTATAATCAGTTCCCTCCTTCTGTCCCACCTTCCCTCCACCCTCCGGTATCACCGTGTACATGTTTTCTAAAGTAAATATTTTTCTTTCTATCTAAAAGACTCTTCTAATCTTTGGAAATGTCTCCTATTTTTGTGACTTAATAAACTCATTTCAGTACATACTCAATCAAGAAGTTCTCAGCTTCTTACACTTCTTACATGGAAATGTGAATGGCCTAAAATATTTTACTTATCTTTTACATTTGTTTTCTCTAATTCTACTTTACAAGTAGTTAAATTCAAGACAGAGAAGTCAGCTCAGTTTATGGAAATTATATTTTGAGATTCCAAAGAGCTAATCTTGATAGGTTTTCTTGAAGGACATAGAATGTTTGGGGGTGGGGATGTTAGTTTATAAGGAGTTTTAATAAAATTTAAAACTTACATTTATAAGAAAAAAGGTTAGGGAATTTCACATCAATGAACTCTCCCCCCACCAGGACAGGCCACCTGCTCATTCTTTCAAGGCAGCCCTGGCTACTTCACAAGAATTTCATGAGAACCTTTCCCTGATCCCCCTATAGTCCTGACCTTGCCCTGATAAAGTTCTTTTTGTTTCCTAGAATCAAAGAATATAAAAGAGGAATAGGATTTGAGTACTGCCAAGCTGAGCACAGCAAGGTTACCAAAATGGCCCTTTGGCATGGAGCCGTCCAGGAGGAAGGGAGAGAGAGATGGCAGCGCTGCCTTCAGCACGACCAGCCCTCAGTGGGGCTGTGTCCAGAAAGAGTAGCTTCACATTATGTATAAACACCTTCTAACTTCCTTTTCTATCCCTAGTCATATTAATTTGATGCAGATCTGAAATCAAGAGTGGGTGGATCGAATGGTTGAAGGCTGTAATTCCTGATTTCTGGGTACCGAGGACACAGTTCTCATCCACTTCTTTTCTGTGCTTGGACTCCACAGTTCAGAAATCATGAGGACCTACATTCCCTCGGGCCCTACTGTCATCTTCACCAGCTCCTTTGATCCTTTGGGGACTCCATTTGGGGCAACTGTCCTGCTCTAATCCTTCCACTGGGGCTTATGATCTCAAAAGCCTTCCAAGTCTCTTCGCACGTCCATCAAAAGCATCAAGACAAATGCTTTTATTTTCCTGGGATAATAATAATCACTAGCATAAGCGGCTCTATACTCTAGGGGTGCCATCACAATCCGTGCCTGAGAGAGGCTCCAGGTTTTGATAGGAGAAGACAAAGCACCACTGATGTTTTCTCCCTTTAAGAAAAAGTGACCAAGTGCCAATTTTTCATCTCTAGGTACTCTGTTCTGTGTCCTATAATAGTATTCCTATTTCTTGCTTTTTTTCCAAAACAAGGGGGAAGATTATTTCCACGTGGATTTATTAAACAATTTTAGGGTATAAAAGAGACCTCAAGTCTCAAAAAAAAAAAAGGTTACAGTCCCAAAGCCTCAAATAGTAAGTAAATGTCTAGAAAATGATAGCAACATGTGTACAAATATCCTTGATACAATTGATATATGGAATGTTATGAGAGCTATAAAAAAACAATTAAATGATTGTGTTAAAATCTCAAATATAATATAAGGAGAACATTTTTGAAATCTCACACAGAGAAAAATACAACAAAGTCATGCTATTAGTAGGCAGGAGACCATTAGCCAAGGTCATAATGGTATTTACAGGTGTGCAGAGATTCAGGATATGGGAAGAGAGAAAAGAGACAGTACCATAAAATCATGATGAATGGAAAGCAATACAGCACAGTGTCAGGTGGGAATGGGACCATGATTGGAATATATGCATTATGTTAGAAGAGCTTTGGGATTGGTTCAGATCCCTCCAACAAAAGCACCCCAATTTCTATTAGGGGCACACCTAGATGACAACTCGGCATCTATGCTGCTTCTCTCGGGATGGCTTAAGAAAGTGACCACAGGCTACTCTCTAATGTGATCTGCCTAAGGG